TACGACCCCCTTTTGTAATCCGAATCCCCCATTAAGATGGTGGTGATGTTGTCAATGTGCTTGGCTACCAGCCTTAATCTTAGAAATTCGGATGGAATTTGCATGGCATCTTCCACGACTTTTCCGAGGCCGCCAGCAAGTCGGCCATCGTATGTTTGTGCACGCGTTTGGGATTGCCAGAACGCTTCATTCAAAGTATTACTACATTTTCGTGCCGAGACCTCAGAACAAACCGGTTTGCCAATGGATGTTCAGCACTTGTGTTGGTGGCTTGTAGACTTATTTGCCACGGAGGGGTTGTTTTCATGGTTGGGTTAGCAAAAAGGAGCTTCATGGACTACATTACGGAACGTGGAAATTGCCTTTATTGCACCTGAAGCTGCAGGAGAAACTGGCGAGCCCGAAAAAACACGGATGCAATTTGGTGGAGTCTGTTGCCCAGCATGTCATCTTGGTTGTGCTTGCTCATGGATTCGTACAAGGGTCATATGCAGGACTACAGCGTCCGATCCGTTTGACATCGGCACATTGCAAGCCTGCTGAGGCCAAATGGTCCAGGAAACTTCACCTGGCAGGACTTCAATGGCTCCTTGCGCTTTCGCTGGCAGAGGTGGCAACTCAAGTTGCGCCGGAATGGAAGGAATAACTTAGACATCTTTATGCACACCTTTCTCTAGACTAGTCTGTGTGTGTGTGTGTGTGTGCGTGCGGACATGTCAAGGCAGGCTTTGGCAGATCGGAGGCACAGGGCTCATGGCAGAAGTGGACATGTACAAGTGTGATCCTTACGATTGTCGTGCACCTTTTGACGCGAGGCTTTGCCGCACTGTCTGCTGCAGCGCAGCCAGCAGCCGTGGCCTTCAAGTATCTTCAACTGGCAGTACTGTATTGGACATTGGCAATCTGCCAGTCTCAGGACACAGCGGCGTGTGGAGCATCGGACAAGTTCAAGCGATGAAGGCAAACGATCAGTGCCTGACAGTTGGTGCTACTTACTTCCTGAGTTGTATGCAAGCTGCAAAAGAAAGTGCGGGGCGCCACATGTGCACAGGACTTGGCAAGGACATTTCCGTGGCAAATGGGCCGAAGGCCTGTGCAATACGGGCAAAAATCCAAATAAAGACTGGACTGTGTGTTCCTTTGCTCCATAAGGGTGTAGCATTTGCGTTGAGGATGGCGCAAGGAAGGTCTCCTTGCTGCAAGCAAAATCTGATGCTGCTTCCTGGCAATTGCCTCAACTGGACAGTTTTGTATTGCGGGCTTTGCCAGCCGGCTGTGCCAAGGAGGGATTCCAGACGAAAGTTGGAGTTGGATCCGAGCTTCTTCGACAGTTTCGCTGATGTGCGCGCGGCAGTGTTTTCCGGCGTGCCGGTCCTCACTGTTGTCACCTGCCATTTGCCAATTCATCTATGTCCGAGTATGGTCCAATCGAAAGATCTTGAGTTGCTGGGTACTTGGAGCAGATTTCTGAACTCTGAAAAACTTCAGGCCGAATCCACGTTTGATGAGGATGGGCGGTCTCATGTTGAGGACGCCCGTGATTTTTGTAGCGTTTCATTGGGTTGAAGCGTATCGGAATCCTCTGCAGGCCGCAAATCCAGCTGCCGTATCCGAAGAGAGCGTGAGCCTTCCCACCATTGAGCCGCCACAGTGGTACGCCTGCCAGCTGTTTTTGTTACCACTCGTTTTCATGTCACCGCGATCCATTGAAGGATTCGCTAGGTTTTGTTGTTAACAGGTTTGACGAAGGCGCATCCGCTGGAGCCAAAGAGGTGGGAAGTGACTGTTGGCCGCTACCTGCTTGGATGAGTGGTATGTCAAGTCTTAGGCCTGGCAAACGTACGACCTTGAAACAGAGGCTCTGTCCCAACTGGCATTGCATGAGGAATTTGCCACCGATGTTAAACTCTGGTCTCAATGCTGGTTTTTGCCAGGGTGCAAGCTGGCGTGCAAAGGCTCCTGACTGGAAAGAGCAGGGCTTTGGCAGGCGTCGCAGTCACGGCTCTTGGTCTGTTCGACATGCTGACTTGCTTTGCTTGCAAGGGCTGACAAGCCTCTCTGAGCAGTATCATGCTCAGCAGAAAGTGAGATACCATGCGGCACAGGACCACTACCAGTCGTCCTTGGGGTACGTGTTGGGGATCATGATGCATCTCAACAGTGATACGTACATAGACGCGTAAAGTGTGCACGTATGCATGAACCAACATGACCTTGATGGCTTCTGTTTTTTGGAGCTCCTTGCAACGCACGTCCATCGTTGGCTAGATGGATGATGTGCTCAATGCGCAGCGCCTCCTTGGTGAAGGTGACGCTCAAGCTGCGGTGGAATGCCTTGAACGGATTTCTGAAAGGTCTGGAGGTCTGGATCTGGATGGACATTTGTTGATGGCAGAGGCCTTGTGGACCAGAGCTGGTCCAGGTGGTACGGATGCCGCGTTGCCACATTATGAAGCAGCTTCTGACCTTGCCGCTTCTGACCTGTCTAAGAAGGCCACGGTGAGTTTAGGTCACGGTTTTGCATTGTTGCAGCTGAAGCATTACTCCAGGGCGCGGAAGGAGCTCTTGATAGCAAGAAACATGGCCGATGAGGACGGGAATGCGGCAGCAGTCCAGTTTGTAGACAGCCTGCTTCAAAACACCGAAGTGGCCAGTTCAGATGATACAGCAAAGTCAACATGGCTTGCTTTTGCCGCGGCATACACAAGTGGCGAACGGCCAGTGCTGTTCATGAGGGGCAGCATACGGGAGCCGCTGGATGCAGCATCAGCTCATGGAGTTGAAAAGCTCAAAGCTGTTGGAGCAAAGGCGATGAAGGTAGTTGATGTTAGCCAGGCGTGCCCTGAGCTTCCAGGAGGCTTGCAAACGCTGGCGGATGTTGGTATCGAGTTTCCGCAGCTCTATTTGAAAGGAGCCAGTGTCGAAAAGTGGATGGAGCTTGGTACAGACCAGCTGCATGGACTCCTGCAAGATGCAGGTGTGCCCATGAAGGATGCTGCCGAAAGCGAGCCCTGTCACGGGAGTTTTTCTGAGGGGCTTGCTGATTGGCAGGTAGCCCTTGTGGAGATGGTTTCGGTGTCCGGTGCAGCAGACTGGGACACCAAGGTCAAGACCCTGGCAGAGAAGGGTTTCACAAGCGTGCCGCAGACAGGAACCTCGCTGGAAGAAGCTTGGCAAGAGCTTCGACCCTCCATTAAGCTGAAGCTCGAAAGCCAGCCGGAGATGCCCTGTGGACACTCATGCAATACATGTCCAACGAAGCACGACTGTCAGCTACATGATGCTGTGGGTCATGTCAGAGACATAGAAGACTTGATATAGGCGCTTGTCGCAAAAGCGCCCCTGCAGAGGTCTAGTTGGCACCGGCAGGCACAAGAGTTTTGTGTAGGAGTGTGTGCGAGGTACGAACAAGGTTGGATGCCGGTTGAATCCCGTGAGCTTTGCTCTCAGTCCCTCCCACAAGTGCAGCAGCTGACACAGGGCGTGCTGGTATTTCTGTGCAGTGAGTGAAAGGAAAGGAAATGCAGTCAGCTTCTCAGATTTCCCAGCTTTCACCTAACTTCATCGACTCCCTGGGAGAGCGCCTTGCAAGCCAGTGCGCTGAGGACCGTGAAGACGGGAAGGAGTCTGAATTAGAATGGCAACTGGCAGTGTCTTTCAATGGGACTTGGCAGGAAGCTGCCTGGTTTGACACGGCCGTGGATCAGTACGACTTGTTTGGGCGACCAAGGCCTGGGTGTAGGAGCTGATTGTACTTACCTGTTGGCTGAATGCCGATGACTTCCTGACCAAGGGCACCTTCCACCAAATCGGCAAATTTCTATGTCGAGTGGAGCAGGGTCAGCAGGCCGGTCATGGCCAGACCGAAGCCGAAGCAGTTGCAGTCCTCAGTGAGTCGTGCTTGAGGACAGCAGATTGGAGTTGCGGCCCTCCTGGCTGTGTAGCGAATGCATCTCTCAAGGCCTCATGCCGAGAAAGTTTGTGCAAACAACCATGGACGTAGTACCATTCCACCTGACACATACGGATTCTTGCAGGTCTTCGAGAAGGCGGCTGAGATGGAGTACGCGATGACGCCGTCTCAGTCAGGAGCTTCTTCTTATGCGCTTCCATGGGTGTCACCCAGAGGTGCCATCTCTCGGTCATGGTGCATGCCACCGACTTTGACGACCAGTCTACACCTGAATCCAAGGTGCTTCATGGCGCTAGATGTGCCACAGCGTGCCAGCAAACAAGGTATGGGCATGAAAAGGTTGAATGGATTGTGGTCAATGGGAAGGAGGCGGCGCTCTAAGCGTATATCATGGTGACCTTGCGCCATCCTGCCGCAAGGTCATTCGTGACTTCGCCCCGCAAGCTCCCAAGGGTATGACCGGCTAGTTGGGTTGTCATGGGCAGTCTGTGCATTGAGTTCCCACGAGATTGCAGGTTGCGAGATGAACGATGACCTTGCAGCTCTGCATGGGTCTGATGTGACGGTTCAGAACATTTCCAACTTCTCGTTGCTGGCTGTGCGTGCCCAACATGTCCGACGCTGAACACTTCCAATTGAAGATTGGATGAACATGTGAAATCCTGGCAGGACCCGAAGAAGACAAAGTCAGGGGTTGGCCTGAACCCCATGATGGTGCAATGGTGCACTTGCAACCCAGCCATTCCGCATCCGCATGTTGACAAGGCATGGGCGATGTAAGCAAAGCTGATTTACCACTCTATCCGTGCCTTGGATCAACAGGCCAGCGGCCAGCAGCGGCCAGCATCCAGCTTTGGCTACGGTCTGCATGAGCTTTGTTTGCCGAGGTGTATCCGTGATTTACCGCTTGAGGTGCACCTGCTGCAAATCTATTGAAGCCCTTACTGTGGAACCTTTGCGGAATGCTTGGCTAGGGCTTGATCGATCAAGATGGCGCTCTTCGTGTTTCCGGTGCCCCTGCTACCGTGACCGTTAAACGACAAGTGGACGGTTCTGAACTGTGAGGAAAGATCTCTGCAGCGGTGGATGAATGCCCCGTCAACGGAAACCACCTGAGGTGCAGAGACTGTACTTTCCAACACAAGGTGTGATCGCTTAGTTTGTCGAATTCGCTCGATTGCCAGTGGCGTCGTGGCTGTCAGCTGCTTCGCACGCCCTATCGTGACGCTGCCTCCAACAACGACGACAACACCTCGGGACTGTCAAGTGAAACAGCGTTTTGGTCACACACCAGCCATCGAATGTTGTTAATCATGCTGTGCACAGGAGACGACTACCGCGGCAGTGGTGCAGGACTTCAAAACAGGAGATTCCAAACGCTTTGGTTGCGAGGCGGGCCACGGTCTGGACAAGACAAACAGATTGCCATCACAGTGTTTCTGCCCGCGGTGGCACAGAGCATCACGTGGAGTCAGCGTAGGAACGGAGCATGGTGCTACAGAATGCTTTTGTGCCATTGTGCCCCTGCATCATGTCGGCGGGTGGGGGGGGGGTGTTCGGTGTTCGCCTCCCACAAGACAGCGTTGACTCGCCAAGAGGCGAGGCAACTCTAACAGGCCTTCTGGAAATGTTGCAAGTTGATGCAATCCGCACAAAGAGGGCCGCGCTCAGATTTACTCGGTGGGTTTGTTCACGTTTCCGAAGGGCGAGGAATTTGCTCTAAGCTTTGGAATGTATTTGACAGCAGCTTTTGCGCTTCAGGCGCCTGGTTGTGCAGCATCCGCAGTCCTACTTGTGGATGATTTCAACATGACGTCGAGAAAGTGCAGCCTTACCGTGAGGCTATGCTGGTGGCAAGATGTCTTTGAATCAGTGTGGGACAGACTCCCTGCTGGAGCAGGATTAACCAGACTGACTTTGATGAAAAAGATGGAACGACAGAGCGGTTGGAATGGATCCAGGCCGCAGCGCTGTTCACGTTCTACATCCTAGTATTAATTGTCCAGCGCGGTCCCGCAATATCGAGCAAGCATGCCAGGTCGGTGGAGCGAACATTACAGGAAACCTGACACCGGGCAAGAACCCGTGCCAAGAGGCACCATCAAATTCCAAACTTTACCGAGCGCTTTGCATGAGCGATGCCAGGCAGCTTCAGGTCAGCGGCAATACGAAAGCTTTACAGTCCTAGACAAGAAGGATGCTGGGCGCACTTGTCAGTGTTTCTGTGCTTCAGCCACTTGAGTTGGAAGAGTGTTGGAAGTGATGTAAGGCTTGGCAGCGTTGAACCGTTGGATACCACCGGATTCTAATGGATCATGGGACTATCATTATGCATTGCAGAATAGAGTGGGCACTCTTGCATGTCAACCGATTTCTCTCCGCGAGTGTTGCCTTGTTTGCATGAGGGGCTGACAGAGGTATTGAACTCGATTCTTTCACAGCAAATCGTAAGTGGTTGCCCACTCCCAGGATGTTGCAGACAAGATCAAAAACGGGATGCTGACGGTGTCCCTCAAGATTTCAGACATGGCTGCTTGGATTGCATGGCAAATGTACCTGTGACTTGTGCGATAGAGCCGCAAGGGGCCGTAAGGCTCCAGGCAAAAGCAAGTGCTGAGGTGGATGAGTGTTCTGTGAACGGTCGTCTTCTGGATGGTGAAGCAGACTTGTCTTGCAGCTGAATGCCAATAGATGAGAGGTGCTTTCGAAAAGGAACGTGTTTCGTGGGGAGAAGCTTTATTTTGGGGCGTTTCTGCAACAGGAACACGAGAAATGAGCTTGCAACATTCGCAACTCTGCATCTTCTGCAGCTTCAGCTCAATTAAAGATGGTGTATTGCGAGTGAGGGCACAGACTTGCCTCCCAGTGAAGGCAGCGTGCTTTTTCGGGAGTTTGCTTCTTCGAAGCCTACTTCCCAGCTTGACAGTCTTGACAGGAGACTCCATGTCCTTATTCTGCTGCGATGGGGGTGGTCCATGTGCTCAGAGCTCTCGGATGAGGCGTTGATGCTGTGTTCTCTGAGATCAGGATTGTTAGCTGTTTTGTAACTTGCCAGGGTGGAAGCCAATGGACCAGCACCTATAGTCTGCCTCCAAGACTCACAAGACGTGATTTGTTGAGTTGAATCTCTTTCACTGCAGGTACCAGACACCTCGCAAAGCAGAGTCCATACGTTTGAGACTCATGCAGACTGCATCTTCTTGGTCTGCTCTTTGATTTGGGGTGTTTTCCGCAATTGTGATTCTCAGGCCGTTGCCCATGTTGCAGGACTGGGACAAGCTTGGAGCTAGGGAGAAGGAGGCGCATTGCGCGTTCCCTTTCTACTTTCGGTTCTGCGGTTTGCTTTCACTGCAAGCAGGTCGTACAGGAGAAGCTTGAGAGCATCGTAAATGCTTTTGCGCGTGAGCTCACTAGGGGCAAGGCTTGGCTGCAAGATGTGCGCCAACACTGCGCTGCAGCAGCAAGCTCTGTATTCGAAGGTGTTCATGAAGCTGGGGCGAAATGGCCGCCTGTTCTACCGCCTATGTGCGGAGCTAGGAGGGCAATGCAGCATGGCAATCTTTGTGGAGGAAACGATCCAGCAAGACCCAAACCTGTCTGCAGGTACCCTCGACAAGCAGCTGACAGCATTCTCGATGCACATCAAGGGAGCAATTGTAGAGTGCTCTTCTGAACTCGCTCTCCGGCCATGTACTGGAACATTTGGAACCTGCAACTTGCGCAGGTACCCCTTCAGCCATATGCAACACATCAGACAAAGCCTCAGCTGCTGCATGATTGGTTGTGCCGATTGCGCTGCATAGTGCTTGATATTGGCATAAGTCTTGAGTTTCTGACGCCCGATCCACGGAACGGCTTGTCTCGAAGTCGGGGAAGTAAGTCTCATGTCCAGTCACTTGCTATCAGGCTTTGGCTATGACCTGACAGACTTCACCCATGTTCCTGTCAGATTCTTACACGACCGCGCAGGAGCACAACTCGTCCTTGTACATTTGCCAAGGTCTCATTGCCATCAGATGCACTGGCAGCGGTGATTGTCATGGACAACCGGCACTTGGGACGTGAAAGCAAGTTGAGCCGTGAATTGACATGTCCATTCATTTTGCTCGCCATGGATTTGTTCTCAGGAGGATGAACCTCGTGTTCTCCTCTCCGATGGAGAGAGACGAGTTTGTCACATGTATGCTTGCTGGGCTGGCCGTTTGAAAGGGTCTTCATAAGCCAATAGCCTCGCCTCCGCAAAATGGGCCTACATGTCCGCTGTACCTTGCCAGGTCCTGAAGGAGCGACACAGACGCAATAATTCCTAGTGACTGACCACTGCTGTCAGTCATATAACTTTTGACGCTCCGTCGTCATGACTTCCCGCCAAGGGTTCTCTCACTTTTGCCCTTGTGGCAGCATGAGTTGTTCTAAGTAAGCCAGCTGCACGAAGCAGCTCGAACCAGTGTTGCTGTTTAAGCCTTAAGCTGATTTCAAGCAAGTCCTGGGCTGTCGATTAGGGGCACTGTGGATTCCAAAACTTCGGCCACGAAGCAACGCTGACGTCTCACAAGCCAAGTATTTGAGACACCACTTGCAGCACTGCTCGTGTTGCTCAACACCAAGTCTCACCTTCTGCATTTCGCGCAGTATGATCATTGAATCCAATGCTTTGTGGTAACGTTGAGTTGTTTCTTCGTGATTTGTGGATTCTGTCTTAGGTCTTGGATCCAGCAGACCACAATGTGAAGGGCGCACAAAAAAGTTTCTGCATGGGCCGTCGGCAAGCGCTGCTGATCTTCCTTTCCGTTTTGCTTGTCGGCAGTGGGTTGTCTTGGGCACTTCTTAGCCGACTGTGCGGCATCATCAGCACCGACCAAGCCTCAGCGGTGTGCCAGCTATGAGAGCGGGCAAAATGCTGATTAAGAGAGGCATAGGCATGGATGCAGAGAGGGAGGGAGACGCTTGCATAGCTTATCAAGAAGAGTGACACCTGTCTGTGTAAAGACTAAGAACAAAGCGGATGCTAGCAGCACGCAGCCATGGCTACCTCTGTGTTTCCCTCAGCGCTCTTGAAAGCGCAAGACTTGCAAGGCAGGGAAGCAGCAGTCTTTCATAATCCAGTGCAGATACTATGGACTTTCCAGATTTTCCACTGCGCCCAGCGCGCTGGCTGAGTCGGCAAAGGATTTCCGGGCCCTGGTTCCAGGATCGGCTGAACTTTAAAAGTGCAACCTGAGCATGACGGATTGGCACAGGTACATACCGACAAGGGCCTCGCAGAGCAAAGACAGTCAAGGTGCTTGCCACACGGTTCAGCAAGAGATAGCAGGAGCATGCAGGAGCATTTTCTTCTTGCAAAGCAGGCTGTGGAAAGGACGGCTACCAGACTGCACCATCGCGAGCTGGTGAAGCAGGCGTTCTGGCAGAGGCGGCAGTCAAGGTTGCCACAGCTTGTTGCCGGGCAGGCGATTTTCGAGCGACATGCTATCACGAGTTCACGGGAAACCTCCCTGCGATTCCATCTTTTCCGCCTGAGCCCGGTCATGCGCTCTCAGCCGCCATGTTTTCAGCAATAAATGCCAAGGTACTGAGCGGCCGCTCAGCAAGGCCTTCCTCTCATTTGAGAAGTCAGATGCAGGTGCACAACCGATTCAGCGGTGTCAGGTGGAGAAGCTGCGTGCGCGGCTGACTCTGCGCCCGTTTGGTTTGCTTGAGCGGTACACGCCTTAAGACAATCTTGAGACTCCGGCATGCTCGAGCTGCATGTGTGTCGAGCTCTGGCATTTTTCTGGTGCAGGTTGCGTTCGTCCGAGCTGATAGCACTCGTGGGGTCCACAGCATCATTTGCATGTTCTGCAAATTTGAAGTCTCAGTACCTGTCCACGTCACACTGTCACACGAAGGTTGAAGGTGCGGCACAGCGGCATTTCGACAATAAACTCCTTTGGGGACGGTTGGAGCATCTCCTGGTGGCCGGGTCTGTGGTTGAACTCCGTTTCTGAAAGAGCAGACCTCAGTGTTGATGTCAGGTTCAGAGCAGATTTTTTTCAGTTGGAGAGCTTGCTCGAGTCTTGAGCGCTTTCGCGAAAAGGCAGCGCTGCAGGTGCTGTGCTCAGCGGTGGCAGGAAGGGACATCTTTGGAGCAGCACCCAGTCTTGCAATAGGCATGCAACACGGCGCACGCGGCATGTATGTGATCCGCCTGCTCGGCTTCTACGGGTTGCACGGCGCTTGGCCCTGCCTCACCTGATCAAATCCTCGTAGGGTACCTACCTGCCTGAACACTGATAATCTCAAATGACAGTTCGAGGTCTCGCAGCGCTGGTGTGAGGAGGCTGTGGGTTGCCTATCTTGTGGCAGTGCTCTTCCGGATAATTTGTTGCAGGCGCACTCCTCTTCCTTTTTAGAGCTTGCGTGCCTGGTGGATGCCTTTGGCACTTTCAGTGCACGAGACACGAAGCTGCTTCACAAGCTCTCTACGGTTTTCCCATATCTGGAGCCCGAGGAGGATGGGATGGATGAGAAGTCTGCATGCAGTGTCCTTTGCTTGCAAGTTGGCAGGAAACCAGGCCGAAGCCTCGAGCGCAGACAACAAAAACTCTTTGTTGCAAAGCCGTATTTCCATGCCGTTTCTGAGGTTCGAGGCAGTGGCCAAGCTATGTCGTGGCCTGGCAGCGCTGAGGCTTGCGATGCTTGCGATCGAAGACTCGAATAAAGCTTCACTGGGTCAGGTGGCCAGATGAAGCTGCGCTGCGATTCACTGCGCAAGTTGTTTCCAAGTGTTTAGAGGCGCGCCGATTTGGGCATTAGTGAGCGTTTGGGCATCCGACAAGCTGGTGCCAGAGGCCCAGGTAAGGCCGCCAAAGAAGCGGCAAAGCCACACGTACTTGCCTCAGCTGTCCGTTGTACGGAGAGTGTTGGCTTATGTCTGCTGACGAATCTGGAGGGGCCCCACCAATTTGTTTTCGATGTTTCGATCTTAGCTTCCACGCAGACGGGCCTTCACCACTGCATGCATTCACGATTTGCACCAGCTAATCTACAGCGTGGCTAAGTCCAGCCCTTGAAGCTGAAGAACGACAACAGATAATTACAGAAGCTTGTGCCCAAGATTTTGATGTGTTTAGTTTCAAATGATAGTCATTTGCGGATGTGACCAACCACTGATCAGGCTGAGGTCGTTTCCATTTGCGAGGCTATGGCAACCTTGGAGGCGGCACAGAGCCTTTCTGTCAAAGCCAGTTGACAGTGCTGCCAGCAACAGCAGAGGTCAGATCTGAACTGCTCATCGGCGCCATTCTGCAAGACGTTGTCGCCTCAAGAGGCGCCACTGCTTCAGATCGACAGTCTCAGGTTGTAAGATGGCCGTTTGCTTCAGGTGCTACAGCACAAGCTGGATCACAGAGATGGAGCCTGCCTTACGTGACAGGTCATGTGTCATGGGTGAAGCTGCATGTGTTCCACATTGCCGAATTCAGAGTCCAACTTGACGGCAAAAGCCTTGCACAACTAAGGACGTCAGCTCATCTTCTGGGTCGCTTGAGCTCCAGCTTGGCCAGGTGTGCACTGAAGCTCATGGGAGCATCAGCGTGGCAATGGCGGTAAAATGCCAGAATGGTTTGTGACAGTTTTTTGGGCTCTTGTGACTTGGTTCTGTATCACTTGTCATCATCGTTTCTCGGCATCTAATCGCCTGTCACCCTTGAGGAACCAGCCGTTCTTTTCATCGGGATGGGAGTAGGAGGGATCAGGAGGGTGTGGGGTGCAGGACCGGGGGAAGAGTGGGGAAGAAGGGGAGGGGAGGACAGGCTCTCTGCAAAGGATGGACGAGAGATCGGGGAGTATGCCTAGAAGAATTCCAAACCCTAGAAAAATGCCAAGCCATGAATCCTAAAGACCTCTAAGTCCTACAGCGCCCCTTCCCAAAATCTCTAATCCCTAAAGAACCCCAATCCTTAGAGAACGCGAAGCTCTAAACCCTAAAACGCCAAAAACGCCCCAAATCCGAAAATCCCAAAGCCCTGAGCCCTCGGAACCCCTAACCAAAATTCCTACGGAACACCAAACCGTAAAGAATCCCAAGCCCTAAATTCCAAGACATCGTAAGACTTTAAGGACCTTAGCCTAAGCCCTAACCCCTAACCCCTAAACGACCCCAAAGAATAAACCCTAAAGAAATCCAAACCGGAAACAACCCCAAACCCTAAAACCGTGAAGAACCCTAAACCCAAAGAAGCGCGAACCCTAACCCTAAATAATCCCTAAAGAGCCCGTCCTAAAGAGCCCCTCCCCCTAACATGCAGAGAATTCGAAGCCCTCCAAAAAAACCCAAACCCTAGAAGCTAAACGACCCCAAACAGTAAACCCCGAAGAACCCTGAAGCCTAGGCCCTGAAGAGCCCAAACGCTAAAGAACTCCCAACTCGAGAGAAGCCCAAGCCCGAAAACCAAACAAAAGCAAACCGTGAAGCCTAAAGAATCCCTATCCAGAAGGCATCGTCAAATTTGGGCAAACCCCAGGGTATGGGCGACCGGTGTTTCTTACTCGAAAGTCATGTGGCCCGCTTCTTAAGGAAAATGCACGTCAGCCGGCGTAGAGCGTCTCAAAATATTGAGGTCTCGCATGGAGTGTCCTCACATTTTGGTCTCCAGAATTCCAAGGACCTCCTGGCAAAACACCAAAAGCAAAAGTCTTACCTGAAAAATACCAACAACACATGAATTGATTTTTAATCTTTTGGCTTCGAGCTGCACAAGGTTTTCCCTCATCCACTGTCATGCATGGCCGCAGTCCTTCATTTTTTTGGACAGCTGCGGATCTGATTATTGAGGCGCAGTGCAGTCAAAGGGGAGGCCAAAGTGTGGAAGGTCGTGAACCAGCCAAAGACACATATACGGTCGAAAAGGGAAGACAGAGGATCAGCACTTGAATGTGGCCGGAGCACAGCAGTTAAGTTTAACCATGCGTTTGCAGTCCCCTGGCTTGACCCTCAGGCCAAGCCAGTGTGCCCCTCGCTGCGCCAAAAAGTCCCATGTAGGACCAAAGGATCATGGAGTATTCACTGTGGCCGCAAGCTGTGCCGATGCAGGCTTGGCGTAGTGGACGCACGATTGACCACGCGATGGTTGCAGGCAAGCATCCGCGCTGTGAAGTGGCTGAGCATGGCACCTTGCAACTGCGTGATGAGGCTTTTCGTCGGGAAGATCGCCAGAATTGCCAACCACGATGTGTCCAGCAGGTGTTGGAGGCCAATCAAAAGCATAAGTTCCTATCTTCTTTGCCAGCTTAGACAGCTTGCTTGCTATCAGGTTGCGAGCACAGCACA